TGCAGATATCCTCATATACAAAGGCTTTGGGATTAAACATATTTGGAAAGTGATTGGTAAAATTTTACTTCCAAGATTTTTTTCTAAATAAAAGGCAGTTAAAACTTCCTTAAAAAAAAAAATAAAAAGCAAGCTTCCTTTCAATGTTTTCCAGTCAAAAAATTATTAGTAAACAAGGGAGACTATACGTGAATCAGCTGAGTCGCAGTTGGAATTTTCCTTTAACAATACTCTATTTAATAAGCTGGTACCCAGAGTGTATGCCATGCTATTTCAACGTGACAGCAAGACCATGAGGAAGATCAAAGAGAAATGGTCTAGGGAATCTGAACCACAAGACTAAGAACGAGAATTGTATCTGCATGCACACAGCTGCTTTTGTTGTGCCTGCCTATACAGGGAAAGGGTTCACTCTGTTTTCTATGACCACTTAAAGATTTTAATCCAAGCTTCCTTTCAGTAGCAGAGATCAAAAACTCCAGATATTGCTGGGTTATTAAAGAGAGAGATAATATATCTATTAGAGGAGAGGTAACAGCCTAGCGATTGCTCCAGGGAAGTTTTAGCCCTAATGGGACTTAAAATGTGATCAGAGTAAACCTAACGCAGCAATGGGAATGGTTGGGTGAGGCTGCCAGCAAGTCCAATCATTCTAGTACTGCTCAACATTGATAATCACCTCCGCATCCTCCAACGCTCCTAATGAACGGATACTTCAAAGATGTTCATAGACGACCCTTCCTCCTGTATAAAACTCTGTGTGCCAGACAGGGTGTAATTAATGCTATTCCCACCACCATCCCATCAAGGTGAATTCAACCTTTTGCGTCCACAGAGTAGAAAAATTGCCCTCTCCTTTCAGTGATGGTTTGTGCTGCTTGGCCAGTGTTCTTCCTGCTGTTGTGATGGCTGTTTTCATTGCTGGGATGAAGCTGGAAAGGTCACCTGCCCTTAGGTCTGTTAGTTAACATCTGCTGTACTCCTACTGTTTAAAAGTTTATAATTAAGTTGGACCACATTTCATTTGGTTAACAATGATCTTTAAATACACTTAAGAGTTTGGACAATGAAAACTTTAAGCAGTTTTTAGTTACACATGTTCTGGGAAGCATTAACTTAGCCAATTCTTTTTTTTTTTTTTTTCTGAGATGATGTCTCACTCTGTCACCCAGGCTGGAGTACAGTGGTGTGATATCAGCTCACTGCAATCTCTGCCTCCTGGGTTCAAGTGATTATCCTGCCTTGCCTCCCAAGTAGCTGGGACTACAGGTGCGCCATGCCCAGCTAACTTTTTGTGTGTATCTATATCTATCTATCTATCTATTTATTTATTTTTAGTAGAGACAGGGTTTCACCATGCTGGCCAGGCTGGTCTCAAACTCCTGACCTTGTGATCCACCTGCCTCAGCCTCCCAAAGTGCTGGGATTATAGGTGTGAGCCACCACGCCCAGCCTAGCCAGTTATTTTCTAAGACAGTCATTTATTGAAAATATGTGACTGAGAAATGGAAACCTTGGTATGTGAGAATAAGAAATAAATATGAAGCACAGGGCGGTGACTTGAGAGGCAGAAAAAGGCTCTGTGCTTTTAGCAAAAAAGGAAGGGGCAAGCATGAAACATAGCAGAGTCTAATGGTAGGCATAACGTTCTATGTAAACTAAAATTCCGTTATTGTAAGGAAACAAAGCTTCACACCTGCCTTCATCTTTCAACTGTCAGTTCACAGTATGGAGTTTCTGGAAGAGAAGCTGTAGTTATACTGTTCATCAATTATTTATCACCATGTCTGGTCAGCAGTTGCCTTTATAGTATCATTCCAGGGAATACATGAAAATTATCTTAATGATTTCCTTAAGAGTTCTTCTGTCTTCTCCCTGATGTCTTAAAATTTTTAACAAAATCTTTTAATTCACACTTAGAGATAATTCCTAACATGAGTCTACCACAGATGAGAAAACATTGTGCTAAACACACTGCATTCATGCTAAAGTGTAAATGACTGATAACTCTTCCAATAAATGAAAAAATAAAACGGGCAATAGCAGGCAGTGTCAGAAGGTATGGGGGAATATAGAGAACGAACACCAAGGACTGGAAAGAGAAATTTCACTTACTTCACAATTGTGCCTCAGGCAGACTCTCTTGTGAGTAGTTCCTACTGCTCCTGAGTCATCGTAACGGTTATGAGATTTGGAGTCATTCTCTCTGACAGTGCAATTTGGCTTAAAAATCTGAAATACAGTCTTTATGTGAAGGGAGAGTCATTTGAATTCTTACGTTGACACTGCTTCCCCCCTCTTCTCAAAAGACAAACACAATTTAGCATGATGAGTAATCTCCTCTTACAAATGTATTTTTCCTTATGACTCTTCTGCCAATTTGTGGCTTCTTGCCTACTTCTAGTATAATTGAAAGCACTGGCTATGAGAAGGGGTGTTGGCTTGTACTTCCTTCTTTAAGCAATATACTTTAGAATATGCTTCACTTTAGCATAGTATAAATTAATACTATAGTATATCGCCTAAATAAAGCCATAACAGTGAGTAACACAGTTTCCTTCAGGGTTCTCTGTCATGGGCACAACTTTGAGGTTTTAAAAAAATTCTCCTGGAAACTGTCAATAAGAAAAGTGAAAGCCTCTGGAAACCGAGCTATAAGTTAAATACTCTGCCTTGGTCGCTGTTGGCCTTTTCTGGGGTTCTCACGATGAATCCTTTTTTTTTTTTTTTTGAGACGGAGTTTCACTCATGTTACCCAGGCCGGAGTGCAATGGTGCGATCTCGGCTCACCGCAACCTCCGCCTCCTGGGTTCAGGCAATTCTCCTGCCTCAGCCTCCTGAGTAGCTGGGATTACAGGCACGCGCCACCATGCCCAGCTAATTTTTTGTATTTTATGTAGAGACGGGGTTTCACCATGTTGACCAGGATGGTCTCGATCTCTTGACCTCGTGATCCACCCGCCTCGGCCTCCCAAAGTGCTGGGATTACAGGCTTGAGCCACCGCGCCCGGCACGATGAATCCTTTTTAAGGCACACTGTCCCGTCCATCCATGATGGCTGTGCAGCTGTACCTGACTTTCAGGAGACTCGTTTCCTGGCTAGTGGAGGAAAGAATGTCGGTTTTTCAGCCAAACAGTTCTGGGTTCAGGATTTGGCTTTGCGCCTATTAGTTGTATAACCTGGAGGAACTTACCTTGCCTTTCTGAGTCTGTTTCCTCATCTGTAATAATGAGGCTAATGTGTCTTATACAGGAATAACTATAAAATGTTACAGTTAAAATCCAATGGCCAGGGGTACCCGGATGTGCAGAGGAGTCTTGCCCAGGTCATGGCAGGACAGTCTGTCTCAGTAAGTGACACTGACCTGAGTAACTGACCTGGTTGGTCTTGCTGCTGGTTCAGAAACTTATTTTTTTGGACTTACTGGTTACCTGTGGGTCGACTTGCATTATCAGCTTCAATCTGTGTGCCTTGAGAGCTGTAACTACATACAGATGCCAAAGTGCCAGTGTATTAACGAACTGCAGGAAAAAATATCAAACATATCACATGCTTGCACCAGTCTAATCACATATTCTCTTTTTTTTTTTTTTTTTTTTTGGCATTTCCATTCTTTGTGGTTTCTGGGTTTTGTTTTGCTTTCCTTTTTTTTTCCTATTAAAAAAAATACAACCAGGGGAATTTATATGACAAACTATCAGTGTCAGGATGACAGAGGAAAAGAGAAAGAAGGGGAAGGCCAGAGGCATGGGAAGTGAATAAAAAGTGCGGTCCGGATCGCATGGAATGGTCCACAGGGTCATTTACAGCTCCTTAGGAGATAACCGGTCCCTTTGGCATGTGTGTCTGGTGCCTGGTCTTCTAGTCTGCCTGCTCAGACACCCATGGGCAGAGATAGCTGGCGACCTGTAAACCTGCCAACGACAAACTCAGGACTTTACAGAAAGACATAATTCAGTTCCTTGGCTTTATGCTCAGGCATCACAGAGGAGGCAGCCAGCAGCCTTTCTTGCCTGAGAGAAGAGTCCAGAAGAGCAGGAGAGTCACTTTTGAAGATGCTCTGGCATCACAGCAGTGAGCTGCAAGCAGCCACCCGCTCATGTGCAGATGTGGCCCTCACCACCCATGCAGGCATCTGTCCAGACACCCCCAGTCAATCTGGCCAAAGGATGGAACATGACAGTCCCTTTCTAGCCACAGCTTCATAGTGTTGTCCATTCTCCAGTCTTGCTTGAACCTTCAAGGTTGGAGGAGATTGGAATCCATTTCCTTTTCAGCTCAGCAATGGACGTTCATTCCCAAGAAGCAAGTAACGTAACAAGGACAGGTTGGCCATCTGGATCCACACTGAAGTTCTTTCAAGTTTCATCCGCTTTATACCCAGAGCTCAGGGCAGAAAATTCAGTCAGGGCCAGAGCAAACAGGGTGGCCAGAGTGACGGCTGAGAGAGAAAGTGTCAGCAGCACACTGCAAGGCCAGAGTGCCTTCAAGAGCGGGAGAGGGGCATGCGGCAGGTCGAAGCCCCAAGTCAGAGTCTAGGGCAGCGCTGAGTCTGAAGGACACAGCCCGGCCCGCTGGGCTCACAGGGTGGGTCTGATGCCTCCGTGACGGGGCCCCACTGGTTGTATTCTGACGTGGAGGGTGGTGGGTTCCTGCCCTGTTGTGGCCCCTGTTCCTGAACTGAGGCCAGGTTCCATCTCAGTGCTGCAGTCCTGAGGAGCACCATGCTGGCCCACCAGCCAGGCCACAGTCCTCAGCCCCTCTGGGTTCCACAAGAAGGCCCACGGGAGCCACAGTGGCTGGGAGGGAAGGGGCCAGGGAAGGGAGGCTGCATTCTGCTGGGAGAGACTCAGGGAGAGACTACCATGGGCTTGGAAGAAGCTACAGCCCCAAATGTTGCAGAGCCAAAAGGAATAGGATACATTTCTAAAAAGTGACAACAGTCTTGTCCCTATTTTAAAGACAGAATATTGTTGCTGTTGCTTTTGGCTGGTCTTGCTTTTTTCCTTTTAAAACCACTCACATTTAAAAGGTGAAAGGGCTGGGACACGTAGTCCCCTTTACTTTCGTCTTTGGTAGGCACCAGGAGGCCTCAGTTTCATGCTGGCTCCTGCTCTCCTTGTCTGGGCTGTAGTCACACAAAGCAAGGCCAGGGAGGGTAGCAACTGCTCTGCCTTCCCAACAGCAATTCCCTCTCCCCGCAAAACCAGGGCACACGTGAGGAGGAGTCCAAAGAGTAAAGTGCACAGAACTCCCTGGAGCAGGTGGCCTGGGGGTGGGTCACTTCGAGAAGGTAGAGGGCTGGGGGACATCAGCCCAGAGCCACAGCTGTGAAACAAACACTGATCCCGGTGATGGGAGCCTGCAGGCCACAGTCCCCTTTCCCTTGGCCTCTGACGCTTCTTCCTGGGACTGCCCACTCTCAGCAGCTCTCCAAGGAAAGTCTCGGTCCCAAAGATATGGTCCATCCTGGGGGAAACTTGGATGACCTTCCCTGGCTGCTAATGACTCGTGAACGTGCAGGGAGCAGGATGCCGCAGGAGGGAAACAATGCATTATAGAAAAACAGTGGACCCCCCAGTTCTGAGAGCAGCGATACTCGCATAACCCTAAAGGCAGAGTCTCTCCTGGGGAAGGTTTGGAGAACATGGTCAGGATCCTACCAGGGAGGCCTGCTGGGGAAAGGAGCTCCTCTGGGTGCGAGAGGAGTTGCAGAGTTGGGGGAAGGGCTGCCGAGGAAGAGCCCAAGGCTGGCATTAGGCTGTGTAGGCAGGAGGTGGCTGGAACTGGTTGATGACCTCATATTCTGCCGGGTAGGGCTCGTTCTCCATCTCAGAGAGCAGCTCCAGCGTCTGCTCCTCTTCCTCTGTGGGGTAGTGGCAAAGGAGGTTGGCTGCCGTCACCAGGATTGAGGCTCCACCAGCTCCCACCACGAGGTAGAAGCTAACAGTGAAGGTGACATAGACCTGGGATCCATGGTACTTATGCTGCTGCTGCTGGGCCAGGATGAGTTCAGAAGCCCAATAAGAAAAGCCAATGACAGTGGCACACTGCAGAACAGTGAGGATATGGGCGAAGGCATAGCGACGGGTGATATTCAGAGCGGGATGCTTGGGACCAAAGACATCCAGAAGGAAAGCGGAGAGACAACACAGGATGACCCGCAGGAGCAGCACTGTCTGGGGATTCACGCAGAAACCTTTCAGCAGGTCCGGGTGCACACAGCCCAACACGTCGGAGACCTCCAGCTCCTGGCAGGAACAGGTGCCTCCGTGGATGGGCAACCAGGCGGGCTCGGCGAGGGCAGTGCACAGCGCCGTGATGGACAGGGCGCCAGGCAGGGCCGAGGCCAGGCTGCGCTCCGGCTGCTTGGGCAGAGCGCTGCCTCCCGGGCTCCTCCGCCGGCGCCCACCGGGCCACCCTGTGCCTCCGGGGGCGTACATGCCCAGGGCCGCCCGTCGTCGCTCCGCAGTCGCTGCTGGTGGCCGCCGGCCTCCGCGGGGCGCGCAGAGCCTCGCAGTCCGGTGGAGGAGAGCTGCGCGCCGGGTGCGCTGCAGGTGAGGCCGGCGCGGGGCAGTCGGCAGGCCTGGGGCGGGGATCGCGCCGCTCAGCCCAGTCCCGGGCGTCTTGGCTGCCGGGGGCCGAGTTCCCAGGCCCCAATCCCGCAACGCCCGGACAGGCCCTGGTCCGGTCCACATATTCTCTTAACACAGAGCCACATATAAACACAATGTATTATAAGTTTGCTCATTAAGTTAATATAGCATAAAAAAACAGTACTAATCATGATTGAAGTCTATTGCCTTTAGAATCTGATAACTGGCTAAATGTACCTGTGTGGTAGGGATCTGTCCAGTGGATGGCGATTCGAGTGCACCTGTCACCACCTGCCTCAGATGCTGCCTGGATAGGATCTGCTGATGTTCTCATGGTGGTGGAGGTCGTTTGTTTATGCTCTGTGGATGAATAAACCCATTATCTCCTCTGCCTGATGATAACTTTTCTCAGGATAGGACGTAATCTTGATTCACCTTCTGCCGACTCCACTGCAGTAACATCCCTCTGTCCTGCAGCCCTGAGATTCTTCCCCGTGTCACTTGTATCGGAGCAATAAATATTCCTGAATGTTCAATTCATGCATTTGTAAAAAATATGTCATATCCATTTTTATGGATTTCACTAGTTCAGTTCTCAAAATATTAGTTTGTATCTATAATTACTGATGATGAGCTTGCACCATTCTTTGTACGCCAATTTTTTAAATGAAGCAAAAATGCTTAGGACGATGTCTGATGTAGAGTTGGTGCTCCGTGATAGTGACTATCAGAAGAGCTGTTATTTTTCTGTGGTTGATGAAATGAGATTTTAATTCCCTACACTGAAACTACCACATATGGCTGATCTTCTATGCGGGTAAATTTCTGTGTCTCAGTTTCCTAATTTATAAAGTGGAAAAAAATGACAGAAACTACCTTACAGTGTTTTGTTGAAATTAAGATAATGCAGCGTGCTTAGTATACAGAGTTCCTGGAACATAGTGAATAGCCCAAAATGTTAACTTCTATTTTAATGATACAAACATGTGGTGGGGTTGGTGGTGGTGGTATTCTGGTTATTATCCAGAGAAGGCAGGGAATACTATGGGCTAATTGGAAAGAGGTGGTACTAAAAATGCCTGTTGCACAAATCTGATTAGAGTGTATCTTCTCCCCCATGATCTGAGGATAAATGCTTTAGGCATTTGATGGTTTTCATAGAAAAGACAGTTGAGAGTTAATAAGATGAAATGGTGATTGTTTCACATAAGGTGAGCTTAGGCAATGTTGGACAACAGCTCAGAGGCTACATGCTAAGACTGTTAAACTCCAAGATCTGACCTTCTTCTCTGAAACTCAGAGTCAAAGACAGAGACATGCGTACAAATGGCACACATGAAAGAGTCAATCCTCAGAATGCCAGCATATTAATATACCACAGGGTATGCAACCATGAACCAAAACGCAGCGCCACCATGGTCATCATCGTCTCATTGTGATCACACTAGGTGGGAAGGTAACTTGCAGATGGAAGCCACTGTGTTAACTCTCTAGGACAAATCAGTGCTACAGGAACCAGAAACAAGAAGTCAATTAGAGTAGCACATTCTCACCTAAGTCTGGGATTCAACGTGGATAGTCAGTGTATCAGAACTCCCCTGGGGCTTTTTCAAAATATTTTAACTAACTTCAGGCTATCCAGATTTAGATAAGTTAAAGAGGATGAAATCCCATGATCTCATTAGACTCTCGTGAACTACCAAATAAAATGACAAAACTGATTAAGCCTTGAACAAAAATAAAGAGAATTAGACAAAACCAGAGTTAAATGCCATAAGAAAAATGAATCTTTTTGAGGCTATTTTACAGAAGAGACCATCTTGCCAATGGGTCTGAAACATTCCAAGACAGTGGACCACAAAAATCTAAGCTGTAGCCGGGCGCGGTGGCTCAAGCCTGTAATCCCAGCACTTTGGGAGGCTAAGGCGGGTGGATCACGAGGTCAAGAGATCGAGACCATCCTGGTCAACATGGTGAAACCCTGTCTCTACTAAAAATACAAAAAATTAGCTGGGCTTGGTGGCGCGTGCCTGTAATCCCAGCTACTCAAGAGGCTGAAGCAGGAGAATTGCCTGAACCCAGGAGGCGGAGGTTGCGGTGAGCCGAGATCGCGCCATTGCACTCCAGCCTGGGTAACAAGAGCGAAACTCCGTCTCAAAAAAAAAAAAAAAAAAAAAAAAAAAAAAAAAATCTAAGCTGCGCACAGGACGTTTAGTGTCCATTGTACCTGGCTCATTGCGAGCCGATCAAAGGTTTTACTTTAACGAGATCACCAAATAAACATCTGCAAAAATTGGAGGTGGAGGATAGGAGGAGCAGCCCCGATAGGATTATAACCCATATTCATTGTGTACAATTTCCCTGATTTTTTTTCTTTTTAATATAACCAGCGCTTTGGAAAACAGTGAACAGAAACAATGTTAACTACTGGCAGCTGCAAACCTCGTGCATGCTCCTGATTCTACATTGTTACCGCCTCTGTTTACTAATAATCGCTACTTTCAGATTGAAAAAGCATTCCAGAAACAACCCCTCTTTGGAGAGTAAAATGCATGTACCTCTTTCCTATCTTTTCAAAGGGTTGACTTCGAAAGTGGTAGGCTCATTTATGAACTAAATGTACAAATTCTGCCTTGGAGTAGACATCCAGTCTGTTCAAGAGGAGTAATACTGTAGCCAAAGGGCTGGGCACAGCATATGCCCTTGTGGGCTCTTCTGGAAAATAGGTTAACAAGTTTCATATCTTAAAATGTTCCCTACATATTTCATTAGAAAGCAATTTTTTTGGTCAAACTTTTTTTTGTGTAACTTATGTAATAGGACATAGCTGGTTGTATACCCCCATATATGCTGATACAGTGTTGTGTATAAATTACTGCATAAAAACATGCCAAATGGGCAAAAAATACACCATGAGCAAAATGATCAGATTAGATTGGCAGATGCTTATTTAAACATGTCTGTTTACATTGTGTATAAAAGGTTTTCATGGGCTTTGATTTTAGATTCAGTAGAGCATCTCTGTTTCTTTTATGAGATCTAAATTACACGAGTTATTGCCAGTTTTGGAAAATGTAAGTTAAATTATGGAAATAATCATATGCTTTTGCTGTTTATTTTTCTCATTATAAATTGTAACACAAATGTAGTAATAATATATTCTAGGAGCGTATCACCAGTCACTTCTAACTAGAGGTAGCACCACTAATTATCTGTCTTTGAAATCTTCAAAAGAAATAAAAATAAATTAATCACAATAATAATTTGTGTCCCAGTAGCACAATTTACAAGATCCTTGTGGATAGAAAATGAAATAAAGAAGGCACATCGTGAACCAAATCACATTATTGGGCTACTAATAGACAATATTTTAGAGTATTCAATTAGGACTAGTGTAGTCCCAAAACAAAAAATTTTAAAAAACTTTTAGTAATAGACTAATATCAAGCATACGGAGACTATAGGCTTATATATAAAATACATATATACACACATATGTATATATAAAGCATACATTTACATGTATACATGAATACATATGCACATATCATCACCTTACCCCAATTTAAAATTGTGTACAATGCAAAATCTAATTACCCATAGCATATCAACATCAGGCAGTGAACACACATTTGTTTCCTGTTAAGTAAGACTACTCTCCCCAGTGCAAAGTGAGCATGAAAGCCTTTGATATTCATTCCAGACTCAGATACTCTGTAACATCTACTCAGATAGCACTTCTAGAACTTTTCTGACTTGCCAGATTTTCAGGTGTCTAGACTGAATTTTGCTTTTCAATGTTCAAGTGCTTGAAGAGTATTTAAATCCCTATATGGTATATAAACACATCAAGCCAAGAAAAATATGAAAGAATATACAAGTCTTGTAAAGTCATTATTTTGACTTATTTAATCTATGCAGACTAAAAGGAATGCATATGCTCTGTCTAGGCATTGCTGATTCATTTCTTCTTGAAGGTTCATGTGTTTATATTTCCATCTGTTTTTAACTCCTTTTAGCCTGAAAAACTTCATTAGCCTTTTTTCATATTTTATGTGTGCTGACAATGAAATCTCAGTTTTTTCTTAGTTCATTTCTCTACTTTTTTTTCTGGACAGAGTCTTGCTCTGTTGTTCAGGCTAGATTGCAGTGATATAATCTCGGTTCACTGCAACCTCCACCTCCCGGGTTCAAGCAATTGTCCCTGCCTCAGACTCCGGAGTGGTTGAGATTAAAGGTTCCCACCACCACTCCTGGCTGCTTTTTGTATTTTTAGTAGAGATGGGGTTTCACCATGTTGGCCAGGCTGGTCTCGAACTCCTGACCTCAAGGAATCCACCTGCCTCCTGAAGTGCTGGGATTATAGGTGTGAGCCACCATGCCTGGCTTCTATTGTTCTTAAAATATATTTTCGGCCGGGCGCGGTGGCTCAAGCCTGTAATCCCAGCACTTTGGGAGGC